GTCCTGCAAAGCCAACCGACAGCTGGCCAAGAGGAATCTGCCGTCGCCTACTCCGAATCCGTTCATCTCACACTTTCACTCGAAATGGAAGTGAGCTCAGCGAATAGCAAACGAGAGATCCCTTGGACCGGTTTCAACTGGTTCGCCGGCCGCCTCATGGAGGCCTTTTGACCACATTGTTACGGGGTCGAACTGGCCCGTTTGGGTCAGCCATGAAGGAGGACAGTGGGCAAAGCGTATCGATCTCGAGAACGCAGCCAATCGCCTCGAGGCCAGAGTCGAGTGAACTGGCCTCGTCTGGCCTGAGCGCCCATGCACATTCACAACTGCGCTTGTCGCGTCTACCAACGTGGCTGCAACCGAAGGCGTGTGCATTAAACGATGCTAGTAATGTAAATGCATGAGATGGTGTGCGCATCTTTGATTCGGCTGAACTGTGCCTCATCGATCAATGCAGTACAAGAGCGGATATACGCCGCATGCGAAAGCATAGTCTGTCTGTCCAAGCCTCCATGGTTCAACCTTAAAATCAGTGTCCATGCTATTGTAGCAATGTGGATTGGTCGGTAGCAGAATGATGTAAATCGAGTCAGCCTGACTTAGGACAATGAGCACGCAACGGCATGTATGGAGCCTAAAGCAATGCGAATAGAGCGACAGTTCCGGTCGTCTGCCGATATGCATGCTCTTTGTGTGCCATTCCATAGCTATCTTCTGTCCTAGTTGGAGTGAACCGAAGCCTCTTCCAGAGATCAGATACCTCAGGGAAACAGGTCGATTGGATCAAGGTCTAATTGGTAGGCTGTCGGACAACTGCGCACACACAATATGTGAATATTTTCTATCAATTGTCCTCATTCGTTGAGTGGTCATAATGCATCGTCTTGCATGTATGCCTTTAACGGCCCACAAAACTAGGGATCCCAGGCCTCGATTCTAAGTGGAATCACATTTTCGTCGAATTTCTTCTGCTTACATAGAGGATATGCTGGTTATTTTACAGTACTCAACTTTACCCAATAAAATAAGCATTTTACAGAAGTGGGTTGACTTCGTTGACGCAACTTGCTCCTGTTGTCAGGGTGACTTAGTAGTGTGCACCTAGTCCGAAGTCGTCTGCCATAGTAGTTGTCATGATTCCCAGCATCAGAGAGTGGACTTGGTACATTCTCAAACGTTTCGCCGGCATAGTAGTCGGCATCATCAGTGAGTTTTGCCAATCTCCGCACCAAGCTACGAACTCGTCAAAAAGAAAAGTGAAGTCAATCTCTCGACAAACGTTCCGTCGAAAACGGTTACACTATCACTCCCCTTTCTGTCCTGACCTATCTTTCTACTCTTTACCCTCTTATCCAACTCACGTCCTATCACAACTCCTCACTTTTTTACATTCCACTAGTGCCGTTTTGTAGCAAATCCAGTCTGGCTTCATCACATTTGCGACCATGCCAGAGGCCACAACATCTTGGTCCTCATATCTTCGATTAAGTATTTTGCATTCAAAAAATGAACACAGAAAAACTGAGTTTCTAAGAATCCCTTAATATATTGAGGCTGGAGTACCTTTCATTTCGTTCGAAGAAGCGAGTGGAATGGATTCGTAAGTTGGTTCCACCGGAGGCTGTAGGGTTATTGTCTTGGGGCTGTGATTGTTGATTTGTGCTAATATGTCCTAGGCGCATCGACCTACGACACTGATGAATCTTTATTGAGCATTCGTTCGTCATGTGACTGGCGTCATCAGAGCAGGACATCATGCTTAACGATAATACACCAAAAACACGAAGACAAGAAAGGTGTCCGGCTTCAAGCCTGCTTCCTTGTTATAGTCTAATTTGGTACACTTAGGAATCTAATGTTTTAAGTTGTTTGACCAGTAAGTTTTGCCATTCCTAGCACCAAACTACAACCCGTCAGAGACAAGTGAAGCCGATCCTTTGACCAAACGTGTGCTAAATACTTGTGGTATTTCTCCTGTCCTGGGCTATTCACCTGTTCTATATCCTCCTATCGCCCCTTCACATAACAATTTTTTAATTGCTTATTTAAATGTGGTGTGATGTACCCTTATAAGTGGCTTTCATAAGATCTCTCCACACTCCACGCTGGCCTTCTCACCCCCCTTCACCCTTGTGCTGAGAATGCTGATCAGAGTATGCCATATTGTTACGAAGTACTCCTTCCAGAGTCTCCTTCTTGCCCCTTAGGATCCGTCTTTTATCATCCTGGTTAATGTGTTTCACTAGACCCCTGCCACCTTATCTGTGCTCCATGAGGCGTTATTTCCTACACTCTTCGTCTGCTAGACTAACTTGAGGCTAAAGAGCCCGAGTAATTCTCATGGCCAATCCTTTGCTTCATGGACCACGTCTATAATAAAACAGGCCTACTGTTAGCCAACTAGTTCTAGTTTCCGCCGAATCTATCCTGTTAATATCCTCAATACCAAGTCGTGGAGGATCAACAAGGCGTGACATGAGGATATAGGAAAGCTGAATAGCCCAGGACAGGAGAGATACCACAACTGTTTTGCATACATTTGGTCAAAGGATAGGCTTCCCTTGTTTCTTTGACGAGTTGTAATATGGTGCTAAGAATGGCAAAGCTCACTGGCGATACTAACTGACGATGCCGACTATGATGCTGGTGAAACGTCTGGGAATGTAACACATTCACGCTCCGACTGGAAATTATCATGCATAAAATGGACTCCGGACTAGGTGCATTCCTCTAAGTCTTCCTACCAATATTACCAAGTTGCGAAAACAAGGTCAAACGACTTCTATGCGACAAGAGGAGATTGCGAACTAACAAATGGCCACACCATCTTGGTCTTCATACCTAATATTTTGGTTCATAAGTTAAGTGGCTGCGGATGAAGCGTGAAATGGTCAATTGAAACGGAACAGCTGCATTCTCCTCCAAAACACGTATGACTTTGATCCTGCAATGTTACCGCATGCGATTGTATTCCGTTGCACACGCGCTGTGTGAATACATTACTGTTGAAATATGTGCGGTGACAGCCAAAACCAGATTCCAGCCTAATTAAGCCTCCTCTTGCTCGGTGGTATTTCTAGTCTATCCTAATAAAGAGCCTGCATCTGTCATATTTTAAGCATCGGAACAAGGAATTGACAAGACTAAGGAGAATTTTGGTTGAGAAAAATGTTGAATCAAAACTTTAATCAACTCCACAATGAGATGAGTGTGCCTCACGACACCAGTGAACTTCACTCAGCTTTGCTTCCCAAAAGTTTATCCCGTTCAGGGTGTAGAGCAGTTTCGACTTCCCTTGCAAATCACCATCTCCCCAAGGGTTAGTAGAAACTAGGTGCATGTGTAGTGCATAATTCCGGCATGTTAAGGCTACACCACACTGCCAAGAGGGCCAATCGGTCAAAGGACAGAAGACCTCTTGGGAAATAAGGCCAAGTGAAATTAAATGGCATCCTGGGGCCTACTCATCTGGTTTTGAGAAAGTCCTTCAACTAATTATACCCAGGGTCATTAAAGCTCTTAATTAAGATCTATTGGTAGGTTCAAAGTCCCACTCGAAACGAATACAAGAAGCTGTTGGGCTTTTGAAGAAACAAGTAACTAAAGATGATATTATCGATGTCATTCCTTTGAAGTCCGCAGAGTTCGTTGCTGACCTTGTGATCATGTTGGCAGGGTGACTAAGTCAGCCACGCAAGTGTCAATTAGTCTTATCACCGTCATTCGTTCATTATTAAACGAATTAGGCTGTGCATACTTGAATCTGTGAAAAGTTGGGGAGAGCCTTAGTGCAGGAGGAAAGTTGCAAAGAAGATAACGGGCATTCGGAAAGATCATTCGCAAGCAGTGGTGGTTGCAAAAGAATAAGGCCACTAAAACTCCATTTCAAGAAAGGCTAATTGCTATTAGTAGCAAGGATAAATAAGATGCTGTTAGGACTTTGACTACGGAATAACTCAGGCCAGGAGTCAGGCGTTAAATTATACTGTATTCTATAATGAATTTTATTAATAGAAGGTAGTACATCAACAAATGAGGTACGAACTAGTAGATTGACCAAAGGGAAGAGGAAGAAAATGACGGATATTTAGTGCCCATATCCGATTGGGGCGCTCCTGGAACTCAGGCTAGATACAAGCCCATGCAGACCATTGTTGGGAACCACATTAGAGCCATCTAAATACTAATTTCTGTAGAATACGCATATCTCTTTCAATATAGAGCTCGATTTAACTTGGCTATAAGAATCCAGGGAACAATCGTATAATCGAGACACCTTCGTAAAACTATAAGAACCCATAAACCTAAATATACATTACATATATAGATAAATAAAATAATCCAGGGCAAAGACATTCACTTGAAGTTGGCAGAGCTAAAAACTAGCACCGCCAGTCCTTAGGCATTCTCCCCAGTGTATTTACTAAAAGCATGTAACTTTCCAAACAGCCAACATAACCAACCATATGGAAGCAATCTGGAGACATTTCGGTCACGTGGGGGAGATAATAAGGGATAGACCAGACAAAATTTGCATATGAATACGGATAAATAAAGAAATAACTAGAAGCCGTAGCAAGCAAGAAACCACACTTACTGTTAATAAACAGGGTTTCATGGAAAGTGACCATTTTATTGGGTTCGCTTGGACCGAACCTGTGCAGGATACCGCCCGAGAAATACCAGTAAGGAATCGACACACAAGAGCCCAGGACCTGTGAGGCAAGGAGAAACGACAACACAATGCAGGTTGCAGAGCCAAGGAGAGCCCATGTGAAGTTGCAATGCGAGTATGTACTGATTGCTAGATCATAGCTGCAGAATGATCAGGACGATGCGGGGCAGGATGTATTTATAGTATACAACAATGCCCGAGGCAGGAGCCTGGAAATCTTAGTATTGAAAGAATATTCGAGATGGTCAGCCTAGATCTTGGAAGTAAAATACAATCACCGAACGCCCGGTTATATTTTAAAATGACCTAAATACCGGCAAAAGCAGTCATTGCGGGGATGCTTTCCCATTGAGCTAGGTGACTTAG